AGAGGAAAAGAGGGGGGAAGGGAGAAAGAGGGAATAAAAACGGAGGGAAGAAGGGAATAGAGAGGGAGACAGGAATATGTACATGCCTAAAATACGCACACACACACACACACATATATATATGTATATATATATATATATATATATATATATTATATATATATATATATATATAGAAGAGAGAGAGAGAGAGAGAGAGAGAGAGAAGAGAGAGAAGAGAGAGAGAGAAAGAGAGAAATAAAGAAAGAGAGACCAAGAGGAAGTAAAAGAAAATTGGAAAGACAGCGAAGAAGGGAGAAAGAAAGGGAACCGAGAGAAGGGGAGAAGGAGAGAGGAGAGACGGCACGAACAGAGGAAGGAGGAGAGTCCGAAGAAGCTCCAACGCTGATGTTGCCATAGTTCTTATTTTCTTTCTCTTCTGCTTTTCTTATTATTGTTTACGCTAAGAAAAATACTACTAGTCATTCTTCCTGCGGCGATGATACAACAAGTAAAAATATCAATGATTTTAACATTGCTTTTACTTTTACAACGTCATACCTACATCATATTTTACAACATCTGACCATAGGATAAATAAATTTGTTACGGTAATTGTAATAAAATTATTATCTTTATTATTGACGTTTTCATCATTATCATTGCTGCTATCATTACCATCATTATCGCTACATTGTTACTGATGCTGATATCATTAAGGACATATTGCTATTATCAGTATCCCTGATGTCAGTAACAGCATGACGATAAACATTATAATATTATTGTCATAACCAGTACCAGCATTACGTGTTGCTCTTATTAGCATTATTGTTATTGCTGTATGTTCATATGGCAATTTCAATTATATTTTTATCAATATATTAATCAACATTATTAGCATCTGCAAACATTATTGTCAACATGGTGATTATCATTACTATTATCATTATTACCATTCTTATCATTATCATAATCATCACTATTCTGATCAACATTAATATTTTCATAATTTTATCATTATTGATAGTTATCATTACCATAAACATTATTGTTAGTATTACCATTATCCTCATTATTGTCATTATCATTTTATCATTATCTTTATCAATTCTATTATCCTTAGTATTGATATCAATATCATTATCTTCACAATTGATATTCTTAATAGTATTATTACTGTCATCACTTTCAGTAGCAGCATTGTTACCATTTTCGTTCACATCATTATCACTTCTATTATAGTCATAATTATCATTGCTATTATCATTGTAACTGTCGCTCTGGTTATTCATCTGGCTGTCATCGTTACCGTTATCATCATTTTTCTATCATCATCATTATCATCACAACTATCAATATTGACATTATCAGTCCTTTAGTTAATTCCGCTATTATTTGCCTTATCATGATCCTCACCATTACCACCACACTTTATTAGCAGTGGTATTTTTAGTATCCAAAATATCATCATTATTGGACCAATTCACCAATTCCATCTCTCGCTAACGTGTAATTTCCCCCAACTACCTCATCTCACACTCCCCCCCTTCCATCCCTCTATGTCTCTTTCCTCCCCTACCCCAGTCCCCCACCTCCTCCCCTTTCCCACTCCCACGGATCTCCCTCTCCACTAACGCCCCTCCCCTCCCCTCTCACCCGTATCCATCGCTCATCCCCCAACACCCACACCCAGCCAGCAACAATCCCCCAACACCCCCGCTTCCCATTTCCATCCCTCTATCCCTCCACCCCTCCACCTCCCCCACCCCGTCGAACACACATGCACACGGACCAGGACGCGGTCAAGTCAGGTCAGAAATTAGTCTGTTAATGAATTTGGCGAGTCGGCGGAAACAGGAAGTAGTTCTGCGAATTTTCCTAGAGAAGTAATTGGTCCATCCAGCCCCACCTCGCCCCCTCCCTTTCTCCCCCCTACCCTTCCCCTCTACGCAACTCCCCTCCCCTACATACCCCTACGAACCTCCACCCACAGATTCCCCCCCCCCTCCCTTCCAGCTGCCCCTCCTCCACACCCTTTAACTCTCCCCCACCTCTAACCACTCCTATCAGTCCTAATAAAACGATCCGCCGGAAAAAGTGATGCGAATGGAGGAAACAAAACGAAAAGAAAAAGTGTCAGATGGATGAACGAAAAAAAAAAAAAAAACGACTGAGACGAGAAAAGATGCAACTTTATACCTTGGGTTGTAACACGAGTCGGGTGCCTATATGAGAGAGAGTGAGAGAGAGAGAGAGAGAGAGAGAGAGAGAGAGAGAGAGAGAGAGAGAGAGAGAGAGAGAGAGAGAGAGAGAGAGAAGAGAGAGAGAAGAGAGAGAAATATCAGAAGAAAAAAGCAAGATAGACCAATCGTGTTTTGGTCTTTCAGTGATCATCGGATTTCACCCGAGGCTGTCTTTTTGTTTACGTTATGAAAGCTAAGATACGGATGTTGTTCAGATTTTCTCTGCCCCTGAAAATCTTTAAACAAATCATGCATAAACTAGATAGATATATGTGTGAGTTTTATTTGTATATATACAGGCATATGCAGATGTATGTTTATTAAGTGTATATATCCTTATGTGTGTGTTTGTGTGCTCGTGTGAGTGAATGTGTACGTTGTGTTTAATGTGTATGCAAGCATGCATGGTCACCTTACATTGCAGTATTTAGGTACCTCGCCTTGTATGCACGTGCTATGTGTACCCGATGAATGCGTAAACATGCACGTTTAGATGTTAATGAATACATAGGCCTACATGTTTAAAGCTCCTTCCCAGTGAGGTAACATGAACTATATAAAATATTAACTCATAACATTTTAATCTGCGCTGCCCTGGAAACATGAAAGGTGGGAGAGGGATAGAGCACGGCTATACGCACTGCTACACCAATATCTTGTGTTACATATACACGCACACATACACACACAAATATCGCTCACGTGCGAAGTTAATGAGTGAGTGAGTGCGAGTGAGTGCGAGTGAGTGGTGTGTGTGTGTGTGGTGTTGTGTGTGTGTGTGTGTGTGTTGTGTGTGTGTGTGTGTGTGTGTGTGTGTGTGTGTGTGTGAGTGAGAGAGAGAGAGAGAGAGAGAGAGAGAGAGAGAGAGAGGAGAGAGAGAGAGAGAGAGAGAGAAGAGAGAAGCGAGCATAGTAACGGCACACCGGTACAGCGATCGCCTTAAGAGACAGTTACTCCCCAATAGCCAGCAGGTCGCAGCGGCCACATGCAACCGCAAGCAATAACGCAAGCACACGCCGGGGAACTGGACCTCCGCGCAAGCAGGACAGAGAGCGACCCGGAAACGACCAGAAGAGAAGTCGTGAAGTTAAGGGTTAAGGGTGAAGCAACAACTCAAATTAAACAAAAATAAGACCGGGTGACGCAACAAAAACAAAAGTGAAGTGCCAAGGATACCCGATGTGTAATGAGATTAGCGAAGGTCGGGAACGCCAGGGTGCCTCGAAAGGGCATTTGCGTCAGGGTACATGATTGTCACTGTTAATACCCTGGCGGTGTCATGTTCAATTACTCTGCGTTCCCTCACCTTGAGAACACAGTAACAATGTGTGTGCGTGCGTGTGTGTTTGTGTGTATGTGTGTGGTGTGTGTGTGTGTGTGTGTGTGTGTGTGTGTGTGTGTGTGTGTGTGTGTGTGTGTGTGTGTGTGTGTGTGTGTGTGTGCGTGTGTGCGTGTATGTGCGCCAGTGTGCGGGTATGCCTCTGAGCATATATACATTGGAAAATGCAAATGCACAAGGCTTGACAATAGATAAACATTTTTTTTCTAATATTTTCTTTCAGGTCGATGTCTCTTAGATGAAGAGAACTGGTCAGCGAGGTTAGCAATTCATAACAAAAAACAAAAAACAGTACCTAGGGATGCAAGACGTAGGAAGGGGGAAAATAACTATGCCTAATCGAAATTCAAATTCATTCCCTTGCCAACTGTATATATATATATATATCCGTCAGCGAGCCTGTATTGCGAGAACAATCTCTCGGTAAGTTTTATTGTTTCTCTCCACTGACAGTCACTGCAGATGGTGACGTCAGAGGCTGGGGCAATAATGGCACGGCAAGGAAGATGGAAGGAGATTGTCAGGGGATTTTGCAAATAGGTTAGTTATTTTTATGGATATTGTAGCTTTAAGCACACGCAATCACGCACTCACTCACTCACACACACACACACACACACACACACACACACACACACACACACACACACACACACACACACACACACACACACACACACACACACACACACACATACACACACACACACACACACACACGCAATGCTCTTGTGTATGCCACCCACTCCACACATCCATTTTCTCACAATCGAAACATATCTTTTATTCTTTACTCCCGTGGTACGCCCACGCTCGGGCCTCACGCCCATCCTCCCTCCCAGACACGCCACGCCCATAAGCATCATGCCCGACCAAGTGGTCTGTCCGTTACGGCAGCAGGGATGCGTCAGGTGAGGCGAAGGGTACAAGGCGGTATCCCAGGTATTCAAATAGGAAATGTTTTCTTTTTTTCTACACTTCTTAAGATGAGTGTTTTGCCCTCGACGGAAGTTCGGTGTTTGTGTTCTTAGCGGCAGGATCATTTATCAAAGGAATATTTAGGGGTAGATCTCAAAAATTGGCGAAATTTAAAGAGATGAGTATCACTAATTGAGGCTCCGTCCAGGAAGCATCTTTGGCAGGTGTGGCGTAACCTTCGCAACCGTCTTGCTCAGTCGAGAGTTCCTTCGCCTTTTCGGGCTGTGTTGTCGTTACTTAACTTTATCATTACTGTTCCGATGTAGAGATATTTAGAGAATATACACCGTGCCTTAGATGGACGTCCGGCAGGTGTGTGTGGGTGAAGGGAAGGAGGGGGAGGGGGAGAGGGGAGTGGTATCCTACAGCGGGCAGTTTAAATCCCTCCTTCGGGACGAGGGTTTAAACGACTCGCGATGAGGCAACCTATTCCTTTCTCTCCTTTTTTTGCGACTTACCTCAGCTCGTAGGATTCCCTTGACAGTCACGCCAACACCCGGATCGAACGTGACGGTGACCCCGGGTTCGATGGTGAGGACTCCCCCTTTCTCTATGGTGATATCCTGCGTTATCATGTAGGGCGACCCGCTCACATCGTACACGACATTGTCAGCGATGATGCCCCCGAAGGCCTCCACTGACGGCGCGGTGAACAACAGCACCGTCACCACACTCACCACCGCGCACCACATCACTACCACACTACCACGACGCGTCCAGACCATGCTTTGTCACACGCGGTAACACACTACTATCGCGGAGCAGCGGGCGTCACCATCCGCCCATGATCACG